GCCGAGGAGCCCAGAGCAGGAAGAGAAGAAGGAGGAGGAGGAGGAGGAGGAGGGAGCCACCCTATAGCTTTGGAGGGAATTCACGGAGCCCCTCTCTGCACTGGCTTAAAAAGGGGGTGGGGAGAGGAAGCGAGGGGAAGAGGCTGCGAGTCCCTTTGTAAGAGGCGGTGGCGGGGTGCCCTAGGGAGGGGGCAGGCTCTGGCTGGTACTTACTGGGTATCCTTCCCTGGAGGAGGATGCAAGCTTGTTTGGCGGAGTTTGCAGCCGGAGACACGCTCGACTAAGCTACGAGCAGCAGTAGCGGCGGCGGCAGCACATGGCAGGAGCACGGCAGCATCCAGAGCCTCTGCAGCGCAGGGGGAGGGGAAAGGCAGGGGGACGTCCGACCCGCCGCAGGCTCCGGGGAACCAGGACCGGGCACCCCGAAAGCCCGCTGCTGTCCCCGCTCCGCTCCGCGCTGTGGGCAGGGATAGACACCTGGCGTCAAGGGAAAGGCTGGCACGGCAGAGCTGGAAGATGTGGCCAGGCTGCGGGGAGGGGACAGGAGGGCTGGGAGGGAGGCTGGAGGCCTCTCGGAGCTCCCCTAAGCTCTCAGGGGGCTTCGGAGAAATGGAGGACACTTGGCTTTACCTTGTGCAATTACCAGACACTCGCTGCTTTCCATGTCTGCCTTCTCCCTCCTCTCCCTCCTGCTCCAGGCTTTCCCTCAAACCCAAAACAGGCTGGTAACACCAGAAAGGTCTCTAGTTCCAGTCACAATACGTGCCCCAGCTCCCCTCCCTGAGCCAGGAAAACAAAACCCCGGCCCCTCTGGGGGCCTGAAGGAAGACTGTGCGAGGTTAACCCTGTCCTGCCTCCTCTCTTCCACAGTGGAAATCAACTCCTTGTGTGAAGGGGATCGTTGGCTGGGGATGGTTTGGGGGAGAGATCCACGAATTCACGTGGGCCATGGGTCAGAGACAGAATCAGTCCTGAGGTCCGTAGCCAGGACCTTCTGAATTTTCAGGAAACGTGGTTGTGATCTAAACTTGGTGCCTGAGACAATTTGTCCCCTGCTTTTTGCCCTGTACTTCTTTTTGCTCAACCGCCTTCTCTGTCTTGCCTTCCTATCTGTTGCTCAGATGTTAGTTAACCTTGTAAGATGAAAGGGAGAAATTTGTCCTGGTGAAAAAAAAAAAGCAGTCTGAAATGTTCAGCTCTCCTCAGGAAACTCTTACTGTGGAGGCTGGCACACTCTTTTCATATCTGCATTCAGAAGCTAAATAAATACACACATCCATGCTTGTCCCCAGTCTTTGTTCAACCCTAAACAGGAAGGGGAAATCAATATTTGTGAATCCACACCTTCATTTGGTGGTGGTGTGCAAAGTCCTGTAAAGCAGTATGTAGTTTGAAGGAACTAGATGGAAGTAGTGCAGCAAGTTTTCTTGGGGGGAGGTGCTGGGTGTCGCTCCTTTCCCTAATCCGAGCACCCCTGTGGCTCTTGTTTTGTGCTCTACAGGAGGAGGCGGGAGAGGCTGCTCTAGGGGAGGACATGGTGAGAATTATAATGAGCCTGCTCAGTCAGACTTGAATTTGAGATGATTGCAATGATGACATCAGGAGCACAAGGTATTTCCTTTGCAAGCAAACCACGATGCATTCTGAACAGGCTTCGGGATTCCTGTTGATGTTACTTCTGCAAACTGAATGGAAACAAAAGTGAGAGTAGGCTTTGCTAATTGTGCTGTGTGATCACTTGAATCATGATTGGGAAATCTTTTCATTATTCTAATAACTAAAAAGGCTTCAAAGAAGGCTTCTGAACCCTCCAAAAGATCACTTATCAAATATGTATCAATAAAGAACTACTTGCATATTTATACACACAAATATATCATCTATATATGCATGTATACAACTTTTCCTCAGCATTCAAAACAGTTTCCAGTTTACTGGCACCTTCCTTGTACATTACTGGGAAAAACTAACATATAGACATATACTACTCAGTTGTGATTTGGAGTTCAGCCACCCTAACCCAAGCACTACTTTGTTTTTGTGCCATAACTAGCAGCAGTTAACTGATGAGGTGGATATTGTGCCGTAAACATCTGTCCACTGAGAACTCTCCTAAGATTACCAAACTCAAACAGACTGCTGAAAAGCCAACAGCATTAAATTCCTTAGAGGTGAAATCTTCAAGTAGTTCATTACCAGAAACAGATCCTGATTGTTACTGTCTAAAGAAGAGGAATTTTCATGTGGCCATATGAATCCTTTATTATTAAACTGACCTTAGAGAGACATCACATCTCATATTTGTTTGACTTACAGTAACACTAAGTAGCTAATAATGACACAATACCATATTCCTGTTTCTTGTATCCTCTTAATGTTCCCATATTACCAAAAAGTGTCTGTAAGCTCTACATAAACGTTTGCTCTAGCTATATGGTTTAAAAACCTTGTGGCAAATCAATTGTGATCTGTCAGGTACATAAATGCCTGACATCATGTAATTGTTCTGCAATTTTTTACCATGTTATGATCATGGAAATCTTGCTCAATTATTTCGATGCTTCAGACCTGCAGTTTTGTCTAGTAGGCCGATTTATTCCCAAAGTAACTCATTTAAAATCAATAGGGTTACTCCAGAGATGGATTTGGCACAATGAGCGCATCTTTCACTGACAGCACAGCTGTTGCATAGAAACGTAACTATTATCTTATGCAAATAAAAGCCCTTTCACCCCTCAGTGATGGTGAATTCTCATGATAGGGAGAACTGGTGCCTTGAAGCTATAGTGTTTCAAGCTGTTACTCTGTCAACTTTTATAAGCTAAGTGGATTCAGTAATGTTTGATATTTAAATGAAAGACCACCAAGACAAAAAACTAAATATAACATGATCAATCTACTTTAGTACCTGCATAAGAATTTTCAGGACTCGACTTTATATCAGTAGTTTATCAAACTGGTCTGCCTTTTCATTTAGGGCTCATTGTTCAGACTTAATATCCTCAGAGTTGGTGTTAGTTGAGAATCAGTGCCTTACAGGACTGGGCCTGTGACAGTCACAACACAATAGACAAGAGGCTTTCTATTACAAGCAATCTCATTGAAAGAAAAATAAAATGTTAAGTGCCCTTTTCCTGTTCATTAGTAATATGGCATGAGTGATTTAGAAGCTGTTCTGATGTAACTCAAAGAAAGCCATAGCAGAACAGATGAATAAATAGTTCTTATACCCACTTAAAACAGAAACAGGAACAGAAAAATGCATCAATAGTAGATAGAAATCATCTGTAACTTATATGTTCCTTTTCTTGGATGCACTGAAGAGATGAGACATGGTTAGATGGAAGTCTAGACAGTCTTTGTGTCATCACTTTGGAATATGCTCATTTGTGTATATAACTATTCAGTTTATGGTTAACTATATGGTTGTTTGAAATCTGGTATTTCTGATTGTGAAGATCGTTCTTCATTCAGTTTATCGCTACAGGACTGCTGTTATTTACACTCAGACCAAGACAGTCAGAGAATAACCCAAGCGAAGTGCATCGTGTTCTTTATATACTATTGACCCATCCTTCAGTAGGATGAATTTGGACAGGATCCAGTACAGAAACCTTTTATAACTTCTTTATTCTCTAGGAAGCCTTCTGTCTAGGAGGACATTTAAAACCTTCTCTCTAGGATAACCTGAAGATCTTTTTTTCAGATGGTTTTCAGAAGCTTTAGTGTAGTTAGGAATCAAGAAGTTAACTAAGAATCAGGACTACTATGTACTGTGCAAGGAAAAGCAACTTACTATTTTTATTGTCTTCTACCGCATGCAGTTTCTTAGCACTTTTTAAGTCATAGCATGCAGTGCTGTGTCTTCTTTCATTCCAGGATGAATCCACAGAACAGAAAATTTACTTATCGGCAGAAATGGTTTCAATGAAACCAGTAAGTCTACCTGAGGCAACTACACCTTTGCCAGGATGGTATCTTCTCAGATCTGACCTGTTTGAGTTACCACAACCAGTCTGCAGGTTCCTTTGGCCAGTGAC